TAGAGGCGCTAGGCCTCCTTGAATCACTGAGTGACTACAAAGTCGCCATGAAGCTCGGCATACCACGTCGAACGATACGGGCGTGGGCAAACAACCGTTGGGAAATCCTTGCCTACGAAGGCAACAAAAAGCGAATGAAAATCGAGCCCGGTGGCCGCACGGAGAAGTTTCCTGATCCAGCTGGACTCGAGACATTCATCAACGACATGCGAGTCCAAGAACGAGCGTTAACGATGACACATATAATCAATTGGATTAAATGCAACCAAGCTGAGTGGCTCCGAGCGTACATCGCGCACAAAAAGCCGGGCACCGGATACCAAGGTCTGCTGCGCCTCCTTCAACGCTTCTGCAAACGCCATGGGTTTTCCCGTCAAAAGGCTGGAAAGAGCAAGCACAAGCAACGCGACCTAAAATCGAAGCAGCATGAATTCGCTGAAGAGTATCATCACAAATGGCATTGGATTGGATCTGACTGCACCTACAACGTTGATGAGACCGGGTTCTACTATGACATGCCACCGAAGTATATCTGGGCGGTGCGAGGAGGCGACGCTAAGATCGCGACCGGCGAGAAGCACCTCTGCGGATGACTGCGGTCCTTACCGTCAAGGCTGATGGTACCAAACTGCCGATTCTGTTTGTCGTGCGTGGATCCCCGACTGGACGTATCGCAACGAACGAAGTACCAACTTATCCCCGTGGTCACTTCTACGCAGTTCAAGAAAAGGCGTGGATGGACAATGACGTGTGGCGTTCCTACCTTCGGGCCCTCTTGGGTACTTCGATCGATGCCCCCTCTGTTGTCTTACTTGACAACTTCGAGTCGCACTTGACGGACGAGTCCTAAAAGATCGTGGAAGAAGAGTTGGGAAGCGCCCTATGTCCCATACCTGCGCTGCGCTGCGAACGCAACTTCTGCCTGTAGTACTTAGCACAATTCCCTTTTCCACTGAGGACATCAATACACCTGAATTCTATCGAATCTATAAGCTTCAGCAAGTACGAATGCTTGATCGGGTCCCATTGTTGTAAAATTTCGGCTTGCAGCTCCGAAACTGTCGAAAATTGTCGACCATTTGCGTAAACTTTTCGGGCTAATAGCCCCCAAACATTTTCGATTGGGTTGAGATCGGGCGACAACACCGGCCAGCCCAAAACTGGAATTTCTTGGTCGTCAAAAAATGCCATCGTCTCCTTGCTGGAGTGAATTCTGGCATTATCTTGTTGAAACAAGAAGCCATCGCCATGCTTCCAATGGGCGAACGGTAGCATATAATTTGCTACCATGTCGCAGTAGGCAAACGAGTCTTGACGGCCTTGCAGTACAGCAAGCGACGTACGTCCTTGGGAGGAAAATCCTCCCCACACCATGACGCTTCCACAGCCATTTTGGCGAATCATGAATGACAGTTCATCTTTTCGGAGATCATGCCAGTAAAATTGGAGCCCATCGGGGCCATCCAAATTGTATTTCTTTTCATCCGAAAAGAGTACAGTCGACCATTTGTCGCCAAAATCGATGTGGTCTTTGGTCCACTTGACTCTTGCTTCCTTGTGCGCCTTCGTCAGCCGTAGTGTAGCCTTGCGCTTCTTGTATTGGAAATGCTCTGAGCGATTTAAAACGCGGCGAATCGTGCGTGGAGACACGTCCAGTTGGAGGTCATGTTGGATCCTTGATGAGCTGCTCCGACCCTCGGAAGCAAATCGGATGACTCGCCGAACGTCTCTATCAGCCAACTTTCTCGGTCTGCCAGGTATGGTAGACGTCCCATACGTGGCAGAGTTCTTGAGAAAGTTGGCGACAGTGGCATTCGCCAAGAAAAGCTCCTTCGCTATGCGTCGAATCGACCAATTCGCCTTGCAAAAAGCCAAAATGGCTCCTCGTTCTTCTGGTGTCAATCGTTCGCCTTGGGTCATCTATTTAGTATGTTCTAGTTAACTCTCTTGGTGCAGCATTAAATCAGCTATTCAATGATACCTTTGGTTGTGTCTTTTTAAGCATAATGTGCTTTGAAACTCGATATAAAATGGCTGTACCGATGCTTATTGACCAGGTTCAAAACAACCATTTGATGTTTTACGCGCCTTTTTCAGTGAGTACACACTTTGGGACAATTCGGGTGGATTCAGTCCATCCGCCATTTTCACTGGATTAAAACAGGTATTAAAGCGTTCTGATTGGATGAAAACCAATACTGCTGTGACTCAGAATCCCATGCACCGAACCTTTATGTCCAGCACTGTACACGAACGAATTTATCCAAACACTTTAAACACACATGGCCACACAACATCGCCACCTCAGCGCCAATCTGGATGCCTCACATTCATTGCAACGTGTTGGACGATCTTGCACAAACATGTCGCGACATTGGTCTTACCGGAATCCATCTCTGTACACAAATTGGCAAGGTTAACTTCATGGCAGTTCTAATCGAAGAAGGTAACTTGACGAATCCACACTTGTGCGTTCTTTATTTTGTCTCACATTATTTCACACTCTGCGTACACGAAGTCAGCACCAAACATGACTAGTGCTATTGATGTGTTTAGTGGCGAATGCAAGCTTTGAACATATCCTCCCAGGCACGTCCAAATCCGACCAAATCATACAGCATTGACATGTGCTACAAAGTCAAATAAGCTACAAAGATCAAAATGGCGAAGTCGTACGCGTTGGTGCGTTGTTCTTGGGGCGAATAATTTCTTGCTTGAATAAGATCTATTCGCCGCCTAGTTCCGCTCTGGTCCAGCGATCCGATCGAGATGTAGTTGAGGCCGTGGTGCATGCAGTGAGCCACGGTCATGATGTCGTTGGGGGTGATCAGGCTGCCGCAACGTGTCCCAACCGATTGCCGTCGAGCTAAGACCGGTCAAGTACAAGTGCTTGGTCAACGCAGCACCCTTGCCATGGACAATATTCTAATGGGCGGCTGCGATACCGAAGGAAGTAGGCAAGGTGAAGGCAGCCTTCACAATAGAGATCAAGTGCAGGAATGCCTGCAGCAGCCGTCAACGTGCCGTAGGTTGTACTCCATGATTATCAAGTGCTCCATCGATTGGAGGCGTTGTAAGGTCGTGTGGCCCAGCAATTTTTAACATGTAGCAAATGATCGAACGAAAAGAACGCGAGATTGATGCAGAACTGTGCGTTCCTCAGCCATACGTTCGTGGTAATTCGATCCTTGTATTCACTCGACCAACTCGATAGAGAGGAACAGCCCAACGAAATCCCGTGGGGTCGTTGTCAGATATACGTGTACCCGGCGAATTTTCCACAATAGAGTTGTCGCCGACACCTCACGAATTCGACGCAGACGTGCAACTTGACATGATCTGAATGCAGTCTCCAACTGATGTCACTCCACCACTGGAATGAACACTGAGGTCAAAAGGGCAAATCCAAAAGTGAAATTGGGGTTAAGTTCACAGCCTGGTCTCTGGATCGA